GGGGGGTTGTTGATTAAATTGTGTATGCTTTACTTCTTAGTTTCCCCAGTTTCTTTTTTTACAGTTTAAACTAAGACTTTTACTAGACTTGCAACACACCCTGGTCATATAAGCGCCGACGATTAGAGGTGTTCCTAGAGAGAAGGAAAATAGAGAGGAAAAAGAAGGACGATAGACGTTTGATAGGAAATGAAGGTGCAAACCACACCAGAGCACGCGGCAACCAACGATCCCCTTTACTTCTCCGACATCCACCTGACTTTGGGGCAATTATACCATAACTGAAGAAAAGTACGTACAACTTCCACAATACCTCGCCCCCGTACTTGCTGTAAGCCGATTGCCCATTAAACACCATTTAAAATCAAGGACACATTTATTCCCAAAACTATTACTATTCCTGTTCAAAGTGGGTTTTTTTCGCTGTGTTCTGTTAAGTAGTTTTTAAAAATATCATTCATAAAAATTATTAAACATGAATGGATACTACTATAATATCCAGTTGTTGTTATTGTTCAGAGAACTACAGCTTTAGAAAAAAAGACAAATCAAGTCTCCAAAATCAAAACACATTCCGAATTTTCATATCCACAAAAGAAAAGTATACATCCTGGAAAGAACCACATAAGAGCATACACACGGCAAGAAGCTTCCGGGAAAAGTATCACTTATAACTATACAAATATCTCGAGAAAGCGGGGAAAAGAAAAGAAAAAGAAAGAAAAGAACACGAAGGCCTACACCGCCACCGAATTACGCCAACTCATGTGACTGTACATAACAGTATGCGCGCGCGTATGCGCGTGTGTGTGTGCGTGCGTGCTTATGCACGCGAACGTGAGCTCGCACATTGCGCGGTGAGGGTAGTAGGAGAAGGCACGCGAAGTCCCCGAGGTTGGGCTGCGAGAGCTCTGCGAACTCAACACGACACGAAAATCGAGGTCTGTCACCGGGTTTAGTTATCTTAAGAAACAGAGAGAGAGAGAGGGGGGGAAGAGAGATTTAGAAAGATTTAAAGGGAGGCTGGGTCGAGTTAACACCTAAAAATGGAACAAATCTCTTTTGTTTTCGAACGCGTTTTGGCACTTGTAACACCATTAGGTGATATTATAAGCAGAGAAGACTACAAGATAACCTGGACGATGGATGATTGATAAACAAGAAGGAGCAAACCACACCAGTCGAATAACCCCCTCCCCCCTAAAAACCGTCGTATAATACAATATAAATATTTTAATACTAAAATATGACTCGGCTTCGTCCTATCATTTCCGGAAATCTAGCTACCAGTATAAC